AGATTTGGAGCCTGGGCGGGGTTAGGTGGCTGGCTGATACTTTTGTGAGCAATAAGGTCTTGAAGGCGACTAAGGTAGGGAAGACTGTCAGGCCACAGCCTCTGATGAGTTTCTTTGCTTCCTGGGTTGGGCAGGCTGCTGCTGGGGCCTGAAGGCAGGGCTGCCACCCATGTACAGTGGGATCTACATTGTTTGGATAAATATACACAGGATGGTATGTGGTGCCTATGGGTTGGCTAAAGGCCAATAGCCCTTTTGTCTTTCATCATAAGCTGGAAGGCATTGTTGGAAGTCTGGGAGTGAGAGGAGTAGGATGTGAGAAGAGTAGTTTTTAGGTGAGTGAAATGTTTTCGTTAACTTTGGGTTAGACAAAGGTCCTTGGGAATCTCATGGCTATAGAGTTTGGCAAGATTCGAAATTAGGAATCAGTGTCTGAAAAACCTGCTAGGCCTGGAAAGTTGGTTTCTTTAGCGTGTTGGGGAGGAGAAAGATTTTGTATTAAGTTAAGCGGTCTGTGTGAGCGAAACAGCGTTGTGAAGGTGATTTCAATGCCTAAATATGACACATTATTTGTGAGAGTTGGGCTTTGTATTTGGATACTCGGTAACCTTTGGATCCTACAGATGATTAAGGAGGATTGCAGTGTCCTTTAAAGAGAGTCCTGTCTCGTGGAACCTCTGAAGTAAAGGTCATCTCATGTGGAAGATTTTACACTATTTGTAAGAGGACAAGGAGGCCAAGTCCTTTGCAAGGGCGCCCAAAAGGAAATGGGGGCTATCTCGGAACCCTTGAGGAAGCACTGTCCATGTCCAATTGGGTGGAGGCATGGGTGTCTGCAAGGTCTTCCCATGTAAAGGCAAAGAAACTGACAATCTGGGTGTAAGGGAATAGAAAAATACATCTTTTAAGTCTAGCACAGTAAAGTGTGTTGTGTTAGATGGGATAAGAGAAGGGTATAGGGATTGGGAACTACTGGATGGGTGAGACCAAACAGCCTCACTGATAAAACTGAAGATCTTGCACTAACCGAAAAGTCCCATCTGCCTTCTTTACAGGTAGGATTAGGGTGTTACAGGGGGAATGAGTGGGGATGAGGATGTGTTGGCTGAGTAACCTAGCAATGATTGGTTTTAGTCTCATAAGTGTTGTGAAGAGAAAGGTGTGGGCGGGTTGGAAACCCGGGTTTTTAAGTTTTATGAGTATTGGTGAATGATGGTCCGCCACGACAGAGTGGAGGTGTCCACACTTTGAGGTCTATAGGAATGGGAAATCAGGGGAAAGGGTTAGTAGGGTTGTTGGAGTCATTTGAGTTAGTTAATACTAGAAGTAGATGGCAGGCGGGGTGGGGGGAGCTAGTAGGAAGGGAGATACAGGCTTTCAGTTGGCTTAGGATATCTCAGCCTAGTAGAGGAGTGGGGCATGAGGGGATGAGGAGGAATGAGTGTGCAAAATAGTTATTGGCCAGGCAGCAATTAAGAGGTAGTGTTCCTAAGAGGACTGGAGCGGAGTGCCTCCAACTCCTATAACTGAAATGTGAGATGGGTGACTAGGTCCACTAAATGATGGCAAAACCGTAGGTGGCCTCCATATCCACAGAAAAGCAAGCACCGCTACCTGAAGAGTTACCGGCTCGGCTGAGGGTGATGGGAGTCCCGGTCAGCCGCCTTCAGTCATATTAGGTGTAAGAGCTGGAAGGAGCTCCCAGGGTCTGAAGGGACATCACGTTGAGGCGCTATGCCCATTTCAGGGTGGGGCAATCTGACTTCCAATGCCCTTCTTCTTGGCAAGCCGGGCAGGGTGTGGATGGCGGGCGAGATTGGGACAATGACTTGCCCAATGTCGTGTTGCCACACTTAAAACACGGTTGTGTTGGACCTGAAGGTTGGGCCTGTGGGCATTTGTCAACCCAATGACCTGGGGTGCTGCACTTGGTGAGCCCCTTTGTTGCCTTAGTAGGCTTACCTCCTGGCCTGGTTGAGATTAGGTTTGCAGAACACCCACTGAGTGCTTGGCATTGAGGCTGCCTTTGTTTAGCCCTATTTTTGTCTCTGAGCCTCAGCTGTCTCTTCTCACGAATTAAAAACTTTAAAAGCCAGCAGCTAAATCTTGGATGAAGTCTGAGGACCATCTTCAGCTTTGGAGTTTTCCTAATATCTGGGCCGACTGTGAAAATAAAAATAAGATGCCAAGATGGCGGCCCCGGCTGAAGGCTGGGTCTAATGGGGTGTCATTGGGATAAAGCCTCTGTTAGCCTATTTAAGAATGTGGCTGGATTTTCATCGGGACCTTGAATAATTTCTTTTAATTTATTAAAATTAACTATTTTGTTTGAGGCCACCTGCATACCTGCCAGGAGGCATTGGATCATGATGTCTCGCCTTCGGGACCCGGCTGGCCTACTTGGTAGTCCCATTCTGGGTCAATAGATGGGACTGCTTGTTCCCCTACTGGAACAGCCCCATCCCTTAAGTGTAACTGATCTGCATGCTGCCTGGCTGCCACTAGGATGCGCTCTCGCTCCTCAGGGTTTAGAGTAGAGGTAAGAATGACATGGAGGTTGTACCAGGAAGGGTCAGATCATGACCTGGCTGATGCCTGGTCATGAGCCATAAACCGTAGGGTTGGCAGAGAAGTCTCTAAGCGTTTTCAATCTCGGAAAGATCTGCTAGTGAGAAAGGGACATGGACACTGACTATACCTTCTGCACCAGCCACTTCGCGGTAGTGGGGCTGGGAGCTTGTAGGGGGGTTGAGGGGTAGGGTGGGGGTGAGCAGGGCCTGAACAATCTTGGAACAGGTGTGAAGATAGGTGAATCAAGGTGGCAAGAGGAGGTGCCAGGGGGCGGGGAAGGGCAGCAGGTGGAGCCAGGGTAGAGGCAGGAGTGGAAGGGGACCATGGAGTGTAGGGTGGAAGGGAAGGGGAGGCGGCTGCTGGAGAGTGCAAATGGGAGTTTTCCGAGATCCTGGAGCAGGTGGGCCAGGAAGGGATGACTCCCTCTTTGTCCGACCCACCGGGACCAGCCTGGCCAACATGACTTGGGCCAAGGCATTAGCTACATAAATCTGGTCTGAGCGTAAAATCCCAAAATCCTTGTATATAATTTATTTCACACCACTTGCCTAGGCGCTGGCAAAAATTGCCGAGGTCGATTAAAATATTACGATCTAGGGTGCCTTCAGGCGGCCATTGGGACTGATTGTCTGGTTTATATTGCGGCCACGCCACGGTGAAAGAGGAAAATTAGTCGCTTTCACTTTGAATCCTGCTCTAGTGTAGGGTTTTTACGAGTTTGCCTAATAAACACCCTAAAGGGTGTCTCGCGGAATTTTGGACTGAAGTTATAGCCACGCTGGCTAATGAAACCGGGCTCTAGCTGACTCCAAAGCGTCCTTTGGAATCACTAGAACCGGCGGCTGGAGCCATGGTGGATGGAGAGACTGCAGCAGAGACGTCTCTTGTCTCAAGAAAGACTTCCTATGGGTCACCTGAAGTGACCTTAAGGAGTGGCCTCAGGCCTGCACTGGGACTTCTTGGCAAGGAGTGGGAAGACAAGGAGCACTTACCCCAGGAGATTCTGGAGGAATGGATTGGTAGAAAGCAGTTCTTTGGGTCCTGGTCCATCCCTCAGTGGAGAGAGGAGGCTCCTCGGACCTTGAGGGCCCTGAGGAGGGGTCTCCTCACGGGTTTGAGCACCACCTGGTTATTTAATTTCTTTTAGTCAGGAAAGAGGCGCTGGAGGCAGAGTGGTAGGAAAGAACTTATTGACCAGCGAGTCAGGGCTCTTGGGCAGGTTCACCAGTCCTCTAAGTGGGGACACGGAAGTCCACTCTCGCGCTCTCAGGCTAGGTTCCTCAGTCCACAACAATGGACTACGGAAGTTCGCGCTGGCGCCGCCAGCGGCGGCTTTATGTCCTGGGCTTGGAAATGGGCGGGCAGTGGGTGGGATAAGGGCGTGCCAGGGCGTCCGTAATATGTTTCCATTTCCTCAAATTGACTTCACGTAACCTGCTCAGTTGGTCTGCTTTTTCCCGGGCGTGGGCTGCATTTTCCGCGCTTTGCAGGTAAGTTGGATGACGAAGAACCCGGAAGTAGTAAGGGCTGTCTTTTCTGTTCACCTTCACTCCCATCTTGTCCTTTTCCCCTTCACCCAGACAAATATAACGTGTCGAATTAAACCGCAGGTTGAGGGGAAGGCTAAGTATTTTCTGTCCATAGGTGATAAGCGAGCCTGAAGAGAAGGAGGACACTGGCGCCAGAAATGGGAAAGGGCTGTAGGGGCAGGAAGGATGGGTGGAGGTGCGATCTAGAAAGCTGCCTGGCAATGGATGTAGGATGTGGAAGCGAGACATCAAACAAGAAGCTGTCGCTTCAGCAAAGTCTGAAGAAAGACCGAGATAATATGTAAACGCTTGGGAAATAGTGAAACTGGACCCGGCTCGCCGTAAAACTTCACCTTACATTTCCAAGAGAGGATCGCAGCACACGTGCCAAGACAGGTGAGACAGCAGTTCTGACCTGTGGGCCCTCAATGAATATGCACTAGGGACTGGGCGCTGGAGAACCGTTCCCTACACAAAGTAGCGTGTTATGTATACAACCCCAGCGGGGTTCAAGAGCAGGCCCTGTTTTCTTCCCAAAGAACAGCGCCCGTCTGCGTAGTTTGCAAGTGAGAACACATTCCTCCCTAACACAGAAATCCTACAAACTACTGTGGGGGCTGCAGTTGAAACTTAGAAGCTGTATAAAAGGTGGCCTGGATTGGAAAACCCAAAAATTTATAGTCTCATTGAGCACTCAGAGGTTGCAGATAATCGACATCTGCTGAAGAGCTGCAGGATACAGCAAGTAACCTTATGTTGCAGGGCTGACGCTTCTTATTTTCCTCGACGAAGAATCGACACTTGTTACTTACCACTCTCTAATTCTTACGGTAAGAATAACATTTACGCTACACAAGACACAAATTTTGAAGTACACAACCTATTCTTTTAACTGCAAATTCAGGGAAGCTGAACGCAGTCCCCGCTACCACAAATTATGCAGTCGAGAGTTTCCCGATGGGGAAATCGCGAAGTCAACACATCCGGAAGTGCAATGCATAAGCCTCGCCTGGAAAGCCACCTTCGTGATCATGAGTATCTCCTACCCAGGCCGTCTGGGATCTGCCTTCGCCGCCTGCAGCTACATCCCTTACCATGATCATGCTCTTGCACCTAGTCTTCAGCAGCAGGCATTTAAGAACTCAGGCCATTAGCGTCTAATTTATCACACCATTAGAACTCTACTAAAATGGCAGAAGCAGTGAAGCAACATCCTGCTGCCTCATCTCACATAGAAGTGCCTCTCAACAAGTGTCCATGGGCAACCTTTAAGTCCGTCTTTTCTTCGCCCCATCGCTTCGTCCTCAGCGGACCAACCGCTGCCGGAGCCGGGAAGGTGACTTATGCCTCTTCTTTCTTTTCTCCATCCACCCTCGTCTCCCAAAGAAGCGGGTGTTTAATCTGTGTCCTGTGGAGTCCTTTGGCCAGTTGGAAGCCCGATACCCTTTTTTCAAATAATAGCTTTTTCAATGAGCAGACTAGAACGTTTAGAATACAAAGGAAACGAATTCCTTTCAAACCTGGTTATACGATGTGGCACTGTGTGCATATCTTCGTTAAAACGCATGAAAGGCCACTGCACTCCACCCTGGGCGACAAGAGGTGACTGGAGTATCAAAAAAAGCAAAACATTCCCCCTCGCCCCCAAAGCATTAGACGTCAAGGCTGGCAGCGATATCTGTTCTCTTGAAAGTTCAACATCAAAATACTTGGAAATTAAACTAAAATAGTAGAAGCAAGAACAAAAATTGATTAGAAGATAATGTCAAGAATATTTCCCGGGAACCAAATAAGAATGCGTAAAAACGGGAGAAAGTTCAGGAAGGTAAATGTCCAAGGTCCAGCGCGATTGGCATGCATTTCCAAGAAGAGGATAGAAAAAATCCGGTACAATTCAAAAACTCTTTCCATACCAATAGGTTAAACCAGTGGGTAACTATTGAATAATGATATTGAACTTTCAAGAGAACAGACATTCCCATAGCCATGATGATCTCGTACTTTAGGGAGGAAGACTGTTTTGTTTTTGAGACACAGTCACCTCTTATCCTCCAGGGTGGAGTGCAGTGGCCTTGCTGGCGTTTAACCAAGATGTGCACACGGTGCCACACCGCAAAGATAACCAGGTTTGAAAGGAATCGGTTTCCTTGTAATCTAACATTCCTAGTCTGCTCGTGCAAGCCATTATTTGAAGAGGGTGCAGGGCTTTCAGTTGGCCGCCAAAGGGGACCTCCACCAGGACACAGTATCCGCTTCTTTGCAGAGACAAGGCAGGGACAGGAGGGAAAGAAGGGAAAGCATAAGTCACTTCCCGGCTCCTACAGCGCGGGTTAGTCCACTGAGTGCTCCTGTCCTGTAGCAGTTCTTGTTTCATATTTTCTATCTCTGACACACTATTAACTATACAATTTTTTCTTCTGTACACAAAAAAAGTGTGTTTCAATAGTGTTATGGGTCGGGCGTGGTGGCTCACGCCTGTAATCCCAGCACTTTGGAGGCCAAGGTGGGTGGATAACCTGAGGTTAGGAGTTCAAGACCAGCCTGGCCAACATGGTGAAAAGCAGCTGTCTCTACTAAAAATACAAAAGTGGGCAGGCGTGGTGGTGGGCGCCTGTAATCCCAGCTATTTAGGAGGCTGAGGCAAGAGAGGTGCTTGAGCATGGAGGCGGTGCCCAGTGAGCCGAGATAGCGCCACTGCACACTACAACCTGGGCGACAGGCGAGACTCATCAAAAAAAAAAGTGAAGTATGTATCTTCTATAGTATACTCTTCCAACTTATCAGATTCTGTCATGGACTTTCAGATGCTGCATCGTTACTTGTGTAAGGGTTTAACACTACCACTATATATATCTCTCTGTAATATATTATATATATATATATAACACTACGGTTTATTAAAACAGCTATCAGTAAACATGCCCCTGATGTTCCAACAAAATAACCTACTATTATTAGAAACCAAATAAGCTCCTCCTCCCTATAGAGGAATCGCTCTTCTGGTTTGGCACCGTAGTTTCACGCCTATATTCCCGGCATTTTTGGGGCTGAAGCGGGTGGATCACTGATGTTAGGAGTTCAAGACCAGTCTGGCCAACATGATGAAACCTCATTTCTACTAAAAATACAAAAATTACAGCGCGCCTGTAATCCCAGCTACTCTGGAGGCTGAGGCAGGAGAATATCAGCTTGAACCTGGGAGGTGGAGGTTGCAGTGAGCAGTATCACTCCTGCCTCCAGCCTGGGCAACAAAAGTGAAACTCCGTCTTAAAAAAAAAAAAAAAAAAAAAAAAGTAAACAACTTCTGGAACAGTTTGAAAAAGCAGTTTAAGTGAAAATGAAACCAAAAATTAAAAAGAAAAAGTGAATTCTAGGCCGGGCGCAGTGCTCACGCCTGTAATCCCAGCACTTTGGGAGGCCGAGGCGGGAGAATCACGAGGTCAGGAGATCGAGACTATCCTGGCTAACGGAGAAACCAGGTCTCTAGTAGAAATGCAAAAAAAAAAAAAAAAAAAAAAAAAATTAGCCGGGCGTGGTGGTGGCGCCTGTAGTCCCAGCTACTCAGGAGGCTGAGGCAGGAAGAATGGCGTGAACCCGGGAGGCGGAGCTTGCAGTGAGCCGGGTGCGCCGTGCACTCCAGCCTGGGCGACAGAGCAAGACTCCATCTCAAAAACACCAAAGAAAAAGAAAAAGGAGGGGTGGCAAATGCTATATGTGATGGTCTATTTTTCAATTCTAAGTCAGCAGTATAGGTTTAGGCAGGCTACCTGGAAATAAAGAGATAAAGAAGCAGAATGTACTGAGCCACCCCTCCACCTTCCTTCTCTCCCTTTCACCCAGCAGCCAGTGTCTATCCAGAGGGTCCCCCTTATGTACCCCCTCCCTACTCCACCAAGAAATTTAGTTTAAGCTAGCTTGCAACATAGATAATTGTACCCGTTCTTGTCAGCTAAGTGGAACCACCAGGGCCATAAGTCAAATGTTTGAAAAGTCCTGGGAACTTATTCATAATGCATTGTGGGCTGCAATAAAATGCAGCAGAAAGACCCTAAAGAATATACTTGAAGAACAATCAATAGGTGATGTCTGGGAAGATTGTGACCCGCTACTACTCAGGCTATGAGGGAACTGGGGAGGAACCTGTGCACTAGGGCATAAATTGTATTGAAACTGTGCTGGGTGTGCCTGCATACCACACGATCTTTAGGAGCAAATCATTAAGTCTCCTTTCACTGTTCTCCTGGTCTCTGAGTTCATTGTTTGAGTTTAGACGGGTGAATTTGTTCTCTAAACTTGATTGGATTGAAGGATATGAAAATATTGATCCTGGGAGTGTCTGTGAGGGTATTTTGCCAAGGAGTGTTTGTTAGAGTCAATGGGCTGGGGAAGGCAGACCTACCCTCAATCTGATGGGCACAATGTAGTCTGCTGCCGATGAATATAAATAGCAGGCAGAAAAACACAAACATGCAGACTGGCCTATCCTGTAGCCTACATCTTTCTCCTCGCTGGATGCTTCTTGCCCTGGAACATCAGACTCAAGTTCTTTGGTTTTGAGATTTAGACAGCTCTCCTGCTCCGTAAGCTTGCAGACAGCATATTGGTCCATATTGGTAAGACCTTGTGATTGTGTAAGTTAATACTTCATAAACTCCTTTATATATCTATCCTATTAGTTCTGTCTCTAGAGAACCTGACTAATACAGAGTCACATAAAAATATGAGCCTCAGGCTGGGCACAGTAGGTCATGCCTATAATGCCAGCACTTTGGGAGAGCTGAAGACGGGTGGATCACACGATCACCTGAGGTTAGACATTCGAGACAAGACTGACCAACATGGAGAAACCCCGTCTGTACTAAAAATACAAAACTAGCTGGATGTGGTGGCACATACACTCTAATTCCAGCTACTCGGAAGACTGAGGCAGGAGAATCACTTGAACCTGGGAGGCAGATGTTGAGTGAGGCTGAGATCATGCCACTGCCCTCCAGCCTGGGCGACAAAAGCAAAACTCTGTCTAAAAAAAAAAGCCTCAAAGAAGGCCATATGGTTGAAGTTTATATGCAGCACATAAAGGACTAGTGGCTTAGGAGTTCTCAGGGTGGTGGCCACAGGTTTGGGAGGTTGAGGAGGAAAAGACATGGTGAGCAATGGCTATTATTTGTGATGCAAATGAAGTCTATCAAGCAGCCTCCACCAGATGTGGTGACTCATGCCTGTAATCCCAGCACTTTGGGAGGCAGAGGTGGGCAGATCATTTGAGGTCAGGAGCTCAAGACCAGCCTGGCCAACATGGCAAAACCCCATCTCTATTAAAAATACAAAAAATTAGCCGGGTGTGGTGGTGGGCACCTGTAATCCAGCTACTCGGGAAGCTGAGTCACTTGAGAATTGCTTTGCCCGAACCTGGGAGGCAGAGGTTGCAGTGAGCCAAGATTGCGCTACTGCACACTCCAGCCTGGGTGACAGAGTAAGACTCTATCTCACACACACACACAAAAAACACAAAGAGTTTTCTGTCAGATCTTTAAGTACTTAGGACCTTTGTTTCCTTTTCCTATGAGTTAATCTTATCTGGATCCAGATAAAGCAGATAAGAAGGTCTCAAAGAAAGCCTATTTGCAGTTGAAGTTTACTTCCTCTGCATACTAAAACTCCTGACAAAGGACAGCTTTTCACAGGTATTTCTGTGACTGTTACCTATTGCACTGCCTACATGACTGACCTGGACCCCTACCCAGATATTGTTGCCCACTGCAGTGCCTACGTGACATGGCTGAATTCCTACTCACCTTTAACTCTGCTTATTTTTAGGAAACAGGATGTCTGTGGTCAGAAGTTTCTTCTTGGGACTAAACCAGCTGAGCTGGTGAAATCATGATGGCGACTGGGCATGCGGGAGGACGTGCGGAAGCATTTGTGATCGGTTTCAATTCTTCGGTGGATTATTGTAATCCACTTTCCATCAGCGCATGACAGTTGACAATCATTGACAATAGACAGAAGAGACCAGAAAGGACAGAAAAGAGGTGGTTCCATGATTCTGAGCATCAT